AGCCTATGTTTTGCCAATGACTGAAGGGACTTTTCACCTGTGTGTCCAAGCCTCATGTGCCATAGTGTGGTAGTGTCCTCCTCTGTGGTAATAGAAGCTGTCAGACCCCCTGTAACTGTCTTGCCCTTCAAGTAGTATAGGTTGTTTTCCCTGACACCTCGCATCACCACCATAGAACCCTTCATGACCTTCAAACTAGCATCTTCTAAGATCACTCTATAATTGGATGCCTCCAAAGTCCCAAGAGAAATGAGGTTCTTCGTCAACTACGGCACGAACCTCACATCTTTCAATTCCCTAGTCACCCCGTCATGCATTCTGATTCTGACTGAGCCAATCCCACTAATAGGACAAACGTGATCGTTCCCCATGAGCACCACGTCTCCTCTCTTCAACTCCTCAAAGTTGGTAAACCAATCCCTCTTAGGGCAAATATGAAATGTAGCTCCCGAATCAAGCATCCACTCCGTAGAGTCGGCATAACAAACTGACGGCAGTGCGGGACAAGAATAACCGGAAGAATCCGAATCTGAAATGTCGCCAACAACCTTGGCAACATTCACCTCTGAAGCTTGTACAGCTTTCCCCCTTTGCTTCCTGGCTCTATCCTTCAACTTTGGGCACTCATTCTTCCAATGTCCCTCTTCTTTACAAAAGGCACATTGATTTCTACCAACACTTTTATGGCCACCCCTATTCTTTGATTTTAAGCGGTTGAACTTTTGGCGGTTTGGACTACGGCCACGAACTGCAAGTGCATCACCCGATGCCTTCTCGGAGGGCTCACAATCATTCTTCCTCAGCTCATAATTCACCAATGCCGAGGTCACCTCCTTGTAGCTAACTGTAGTTCGCCCATTAATCATAGTGAGAACAAAAGTACTAAATTCATCATCCGGCAATGAACACAATAGTAACATCGCCTTGTCTTCATCCTCCACCATGATATTAACATTGGCCATATCCGAAATTAGCTTTGTGAAGTTGTTAACATGCTCTCGAATGGAAACTCCTCTCTTCATCTTGAATTTGTAGAACCTTTTCTTCAAATGAAGCCTATTCTCAATGCACTTTGTCAAATATTTTTCATTGAGCGTTTCCCACAATCTCTTTGCCGATGTCTCGTTCATCATATCATAAATGAGATCCGGCGTTAGGCATGACAGAATAACCCCACAAGCCCTACTGTGCATTTTTTTCCAAACCCTATCATCAATCTCCTCGGGTTTCTCTTGAAACTCAAGAGTCTCCTCTAAATTTTGTGCATCTAAGGCGTCCATTACTTGACACCTCCATAAACCGAAGTTAATCTTGCCGTCGAACTTTGGGACATCAATTTTAGTGTTATTGATGCTCAAATTTTGGATCGCCTTTGTCAGAGCCGACCCCGTTGTACTAGTAGCACTTGAACTAGCCTTGCTTGTTTCAACCATATTGTAGATCTACTCTTCCAACAAGAACCCAACAATGAATCCTTCGAATAAACTCCCAAATCCAACCCGGAGCTCTGATACTACTTGTTGTGCGTCGCGGAAGCCCCAAATAGCCAAATCAAAAGCACAACAAGAACAATAGTAGACCACAAGTGAACACAAGCCAACCAATCACAGCAAGTACACAATATATACGTGGTTCGACAATGTGCCTACGTTCACGGGGCAAGGAGGGGGAAGCTTTACTAATGAAATCAAAGGGGAATACAAATTAGGGTTACAAATCTTACCCAAAACCCTAAAATAAGACCACTTGATCTCTCCAATAGACTCCAACAATAGAAGCCCTCTTAATCCCCTTTCAGCAGCTCAAAATCGCCCAAGCCTAACCCTAGAATCGAGTTTAGGGTTTAAATACAACTCACAAACGAAACGGGTCTGGAAACAGAACCCAACCCGAAACTGCAGCGTCGGTCGACCGGACCGGTCGACCGCGATCCATCGCGGTCGACCGACCCGGTCGACCGCCGCCACCTGTTAAACTGAATCCTGAGCCTGAAATCCATATCCCGCTGCCAATTCTACAGTTGCCGCTTTGTTATCTGTTTCTACTTGCATTTGGGACTTATTTTCACTTCTGTGTGAAGAAGTTGTTGATTCATTACAGGTTGGGTAATGTTTGTCCAATACGTGCTTGCTGTAGGTTACAAAGAGTGAGGAATGCATTGTCATATGCAACTCACAGATTTCTCCAGGAAAATGGGTTTGTTTGGATTTCAAGTCCACTTATTACCACTTGAGATCGTGACTTTATAAGGTTGTTTCCTTTATGAGATTGTTTTATCTTGAGTTCTTGACTTAGTTTGTGCTTCCATTGTAATTTTCTTTTACGGGCCTCACGTTAATTACTAGCGACCTTATCAATTATATTTTTGTATGAGGAAGGAAATCGAGCAAAAAGGACTTGAAACGGTTAGATGTGACTGGACACTGGAGTTTACTGTCAAAGAAAATAGGGAACTTCCGTCTCAAGCAGATATTATCTGGAGGGTGAGCATTGATATTAGTTTGCGTTATTACTTCAATATACGAAAAACCTACAGACTATTAGTTTTCGCTTATTACGACTTGTCTCGCCCGAAAGGTCCTGCGAAGATGTTGTTGAATCGATTCATAGCTGTCTTATGAAGGTAGGGAGTGTATTTTACTCTATCTGATGTGATATCTTATATATCTTGACCTTGACAACCAGGGTTTTGTGCAAACAGGTGCAAGAGAAGATGAGGAAGTGTGAGATAGAAACTGAAAAATATGCTATTACTAAAATAGAAATTGAAACACATCATTACTAAGACTTTGCAGAAGCCGCCAGAAGACTACCCAGATGCTAAAAATCAGCCTCATGTGCAGTTCTATCATTCTTATTAAAGTTAACTGCGACTAGACCCCCAATGCTATCGTGTTCTACTGTTGCAGATAGACACCTGAGTAAAAAATTTTGTCCCTTTTCAGGGGTCTCACTTCAACAATAGATTTTCACTCAGGGCATATAGCTGAGACAACAGAACTCTCTCAGGGCACGTCAATCTGCTGGGGGAGTAAGTTCAACTTGGCGATAGTACAGGTGGTCTATATGCAATTAACCCTTCTTACTATCCGTACATGTTATTAAACAATTTAGTTGTTATATTCATAAACCTTCTTCTGTAGGTGGCTGTAAGATTAAAACAAAACTGATGAGTTGAAGAGGGAAAAGGACAAGTGGATGATTGATATCGACCATTATTCTTCTCAACATGTCACCGGGTGGTTAGTATTGAACTCATTAGATCACTTTATCATTTAATCCTCTTCTTTGCTCATATCAAGTGTTTATTTGTTTTGGTCAGATTCACGCTATGGTGTCACGGTTGTGTGCCTACACTGAGGGGACTAGCCCAGCAAGGTTGGCTGATTGTCTTCGGCTCAATTCTTCTGAGGGTGAATCTCTACCCTAGTTGCACATTCTTAGTTCTGGTGCATGTTTTGTTGAGAAAGATGACATTCACACTTAGTTTCAAAACAAAGATCAAGACCATTCAAGCTAGATTATATCGTTTCTGATTATTAGTCTTAAGAAAAGAATCATAACAAGACAAGTGGTAGTTTCATTTTTCTTCTAAAAGAATGTTAAGATTTTATTTTATAGGTTTTTGATGTTTATATTGTACTTATTTGAATTTTTTGAATTAATTTCAAAGGATGAAGGATGTGAGATTGATGTTTTGAGGGGCTCACTAAAAAAATCAAGGACTTTGGCATATTTATCTGTGTGTGTGTGTGTGTGTGTTTACGATTTTCTATAAGAAATTGATTGTAACAAACTTTGTTGGTGAAGATTTTCTAGATGAAATTGATTGTACTAGACTTTGTTGGTTAAGATCTTCTATATGGAATTGGTTGTAATAGACTTTGTTGGTTAAGATTTTCTATGTGGAATTGATTGTAATAGAACTTGTGACTAGAATTGAATTATACTTTTTATTAGGAATATCATGATATTTACTTTAGATTTGTTTGGGTTCTTTCATTCACCTTTCTTTCTGCAAATATTATGTGTGAGAAATGTTGTTCTCTAATTAGTGTAATTGTGGTTGTGTTTTTGCTTGCTATTATTTACGAACGTGATGCTGATGGCCATTCAAGTTTTTGTGTTACAAATTTACCATTTTTTTAAATACATGTTTATTAACTTGTTACTTCACATGATATGAATGATATTGATTTTGAATTATTGATTTTAAATAATTATGCTTAAACTGCATCATTTTCTAGACCTCATTCAGAATCATCTTTCTTCACATGAGATTAAGAATAAATGGCAAGTCCAAAACCATGTAAGATTATACGCAAATTAGAATCATCATAAATTTGACTCAATTTTCTTGAGTTAAGATTGTGCGAACATATTCGGTAACTTATAAATTTTTTTCAAAATATGGTAGTATCAAAATTTAATTTAATTTAATTATTTTTTGTAAATTGTTTAAAAATCTAAATCTAATTCTAAGAAATATGAATTAAAATTATGTTGTGATATTTTTCTTCCTCATTTTCTCAGAAAGGTAACTAAACAAGAGAAAATAATTCTCATATGAATTTTCTTCTAACTTTCATTACAATATTCTTTCTAACCAAACAATAGAAAGAATATCATTTTCTTTTCTTTTTCTTTTCCTTTCTTTTTACTTTTTCTTTCCTTTTCTTTTCTCTCCCTTTCTCTCAAACCAAACATAGCATAAAAGAAAACCTGTGTAACAATACTTCTTGTATTTCCTTCTCTTTAAAGAAAATCTTCAATAGAGGAGGGAAAAATTTACTGCTGAAAGAGAGAAAGATTCCGGCCGACCGAGCAATCATCAGCTGCAATGTGATCCTTCCAAGCATCTGCTTTCGACCCCCCTCTGAACACACGAGCATCTACTATACGCATGCTCCAGTGAACAGATAGGTAAGAAAAATACTATTGCAAGTCATGTAACCCAATTCTTAAGAGGCAGAGACACATCCATAAACAGAAAACAAAAATCAGCAGAGGAAAACACTATTTCGGGCCTCCATTTTTTATTAAAAATAATAAAAGAAAACTCGTGTTACAGTCTTTACAGTGAAAATAGCCGAGAACAATACATTGAGAAGCAGCAGGACCTGGACAAAAATCACTATGATAGAGCAAACAATGTCATTTATGATACATAGAATTCAATCAGTGATGAAATATAATATCTCACTGTCATTCATTTGGAGATCTCGATGCAAGATCTTCGTCCATTTCAAGCCCCCGATGCTTGCTTTTCGCCTATAATCTGCTTACATCTATGAGTATATATACTATATTTATCCCGCAACGTATAGTTTTGTTCGTCTCTATATTGGATCTCCTCCCAAAATACCTAGAGCATAAGAGGCGCTAAATCAGTATCTAATGAATATGAAATGCCTGAAACAGAGAAGAGTACGTTAGAATTTGTAAATAAATCTCTAGCCAAGAAAAAAAAACCAAACTGAAGATTGCGGTATGTATGCCAAATGCACTGTGCAGCTATGGTGTTAAGCTGTCCTAGTTTAAAGAATAATTCATAAAATACAGTGCAGACTCAGGCAAAAAAAAATTCATGTAATCAAAACTATATGAACTCGTATTCAAGCGCATTACATATAATGAGTCTATTGAAGTAATTATGGTGATATAAAGTGCTTGCATGTGTGATAATGTTCTTTAGCTATAATGCAGATTTGTACTGGTCTGAGACATGAATAGTTTGTAACATAAAATATTTCCCTCATTAGTTACTAGAAAATTCAAAGTTCTCTACTAAAAGTTGAATAAATCATAAACTATATTTACAACGAAAATTCAAAGTTCTCTACTAAAAGTTGAATAAATCATAAACTATATTTACAACGAACTGGATTTAGAACCACTAACACGTGCATTCAATTCTTTTTTGAACTTCTTAGTCTCCAACACATTAATGATATGTAAACATTTCCCCAAATAAAATTTGGTGTTTGTAGCACAGCTGGACATGATATGTATCAATCATTACCCAGCACTACAAACTTGTAAAGTACTATCTACATCAAAATTATGTACAAGGCGGAATATGTTTGTGTTCCTTCTACAAAATTAATCATCTTAATCTTTTCTTTAGTTCCTTTCATATATGAATTGCAACACATAAGCACATTCATAGTTAGATGAAATTATAAATACAGAGTCAGGTACTCATATCTCAACTTTGAACTGCCATGTTGGACAACCCCGTGTCCATGTCGAAACATGAACTCGTGACCATGTAAATCATAGTCCAATGAGTGTATAATATGTTTTTGGCACATAAGAAATTTGTTATGAATTTTAGGGTTTACTAGAGGGGCGTGCGAGAAGTATTAGGCAAATACCAGATACCGTTATATCAAACTATCCATAACACAGCTTTATATCACAAAAGTGATATCAATATAATTATGGATCATCCATCATCTGGGACACATGATAGTCATACGAGTCAAATTGCAACGAATTTAATGCCTCAGCAACTGAGAAGATTGAGATTCACACCAATATATTGAAGTTTGCAATCTCAAGGATCAATAAGCAAAAGAAATCAAGAAACAGAAGCAACACCATTTAGGGAAGGATTCACAAAAATCGTGTTGTTACTATTTATGTAATGGATTAATTAGAGCCCTTATCTGAGAAGGATATCTTCAGTTCACTCTTTTGGCAGATTTTTTGGATGATGCCTTTTGTCTCTAATAGCTTTTCGGATTCAGCAATAGCTGGTTCTATTGTGTTGTGGACTTGATGATTCCATGATGGTAGAAGATGTTTAACAGATTTTTCTTCAGAGAGTAAATTTGAGTGACACATAATTTGGAAATATGCTTCAGTAGTGTTTTGATTACTCCAGAGGAACTACTGAAAGATTCCAAATCCACCAGCACATAATAACAAAAGCATCTCGGTGGCCATCTCTTCGATCAATAAAAGAGGCAAGGTTAGAAACATGCCTAGAGAGTAAGATCAGATAGGGAGCAGTGGCTGCCTCTCGTCAGGTTTAACACGATGACTAGCCTGTAAAAAAAGTTTAGATATCATATATGAGTATAATTTAGTCAACCAATAACAGCTAATAAATTAAATCCTCGACAGTACGAAATAGTCTTACATCTTCAGTTGCACCAGCCGTCATATTTACAAAAGATTCTTCTGTGGACCTGAAAATACGTGTTCATTCCGCAGATCAGAACATAGATAAAATTATATATCAAGAAGAATGCACATGATCATTAATATATTCACATATTTGGAGATGATTTGTATGGTCTTGAGGCTCCTATCCTCATTAGAATTAAGGTTTATAGAGAAACAGCTCATAAATTTACATCAAACTTTAAATAGAGTATAAAGCTACTGATGAAGTATTGTATTTTAATGGAGATCATAAAGCTAGTTACAGAACTGATAAGTCCAGATGATAACTAATAGCTTATAACAACCATGAGAACAACATAGCCTCATATCTTTCAAATCAGCTAGTTGACCAGATCTGAAAGAGTAATGCCATAAAAAAACATCGTTTAAAAGCTGGATCAGTTTTTTCTTCTTCTTCCGCTTCTACCTTTGTTTATTGTTTTTTATTTCAGCTTCTACTTAGAAAATTTTAGCTGGGTTGGAGGATACTATGGGGAGAAAGTGGCCAAATTTCATCTTCTCCTGTACACAAATTTTTCCTATTTTTGCCTTGCCTTTTTATGTTCTCTTTTCATTTGTGTAAAGGACATTTTGGGGACAGGGTTGCCCAAAATCTACCCCTCATTTGCACATATTTTTCCTTCATTCACTCCTGAATTGCTAGGGCATGCCCCTAAAGACAGCTCGCCCATACCCCATCACTCGAACATGTGTTTTCCACCATGATGAGATGGTAGTTACAGGCGGTAAGGATGTAGGAGGGGGTTAGAGTGGGTACGTACCTGATTTTGAATTTTTTTTTCTAATCTGATAGGTGTTGATAAAAAGAAAAGATTTTTGGTGGACTATAGAGATCACAAGGGACCTTAAAATTGGGTCAGAGACTGGGATTCGGAGAGGTGGAGAAAGTGTTGAAGGTTACAAGTTCTTGTTACAGATATTTTTTTAGATCAATTTCGATCTTTATTTCTCCTCTATTGTGTGAAATTTCTTGGCCACCTTATGTGATTTTGAAATTTTATATGTTTCTGTTGTGAAGTAGATCTTGTTTGCAGTTTTGATGTGTATTATTTTCTTTCTTTTGATTGATTTGATTCTAGGGTTCTTGATCAAAGGAAACACCTATGGTCAATTTCTCTTCTGCCAAGTGAAATATTTGATAGTCATGACGTGGAAATCACCGGGAAGATCTCAATTTTATTTTTCTCATTTTTTTAATTCTTTCTACAGATAATAGGTGAAATTGGGGTGTTCATGTTGATCCTTTATCAGTTAAAATCAGTGTGTTTGATCTGTTGTGCATCACAATCCAATCATGTACGTTTTTGGAACTTCTTTGTTAAATATGTGATTTTTGTCCTACAAAAGCTTCCTAAATGAATGCTTACGATGGAAATCATTTGACATTGTACCGTGTAACTTGGTTTCAGTAAATGATTTTTTATACCAAAATTTGGTGAGTACCAAAATTTGGTGAGTAATTTAGTTTCACTAGAAATGTGAGGAGAACACATGATTGAATTCAACAATTTGAAAAAAATTCATGCCTCAAGTTAGCACACTGCTGACTTTTTTCTTAGTTACTTGAGAAAAAGACTTGAAAGTTTGCTATAAAGCAATCCTACGAATGGATGAAGGAAAATTAGAATTGTGAAATTGTGGACGAAAGAAGAATGGCATTGATATGTTCTGTCATGTGTAGTCAAGACTTTGAATTAAGTGAAGAATGTTAGGAATAATCCAGAATTCGCATCTATAAGTGGTTAGAAAAGCTCAAATAAATTTGGTGTAATCCACATAGAGTAGCTTAAATGATCAGAGAACAGTTCCAATTCTATTTGAGTTTGAAAGCTAATTTAAGCATATTTCCTTTTGATAAAGATGATCAGAGAACAGTTCCAATTCTATTTGAGTTTGAAAGCTAATTTAAGCATATTTCCTTTTGATAAAGTTTGCTGAAAATATTGTTCAACTATTTGAGTTTGAAAGCTAATTTAAGCATATTTCCTTTTGATAAAGTTTGCTGAAAATATTGTTCAAAGCAGATACTACATCCAAAAGTAATAACGGTATTTGAATTTGCTCTCCAAAGTGTGCACATGAAGCGTGGATTACATGAACGATTAATCATATTCAGTGAAAGGAAGAGATTGAATTAAGTGGGGGTAATTAGTATTAACCCACAATGAAATTTTTAGTGGTTAGTCGGTAATGCCCTAAGTTGTCGAAACATATAATTTAAAAGGTTAAATAATAATTCAAACTCAAGTAACTTTAAGGACCCTTGGACAAAGTTCGCAACAACTAATAGTTCGTTTAAAGTGGAAACAACAACTACAGGTAACATATTTGCATTTCCTTTCCATAATACATACAAGAAGGTTTAGACAAAACATATTAACTTAAACTGTGTCAGAATAAATTCGAATCAGGATGTAGTTTTGACTATTGTAAGCTTATTTGTTTTTGGTAAAGTTTCGAACAAGTAATAACTCATTTTGAAGTGAACCTGTAAGCATTGGGTATTTGAAGTTTCCCTTCCATAAATTACATATCTATAAGCATCTACACATAAGAAGATTGACATAAAACAACTAGCTTGGTTAAACTACCGTAACGATATTAGTATTTAGAAAATCAGGTTTGGAGTTACAAATTGCATATTGTAACTTTGCTTTTGAGAACATGCACGTTAAAAGTGAGTAGTGAGAATATTAACCAATAAGAAAATTAACATATTTTTTACCATAAATTTCTACATTTTCCTTATATTGTTTGTTTCCAGTGTAATAAATATTTATAATATGTATCATGTTAATAATATAAAAGGTAAATATTGTGAACGAATGGTGGACTTTCATAAACATGCTAATACAAGAAGTGAAGGCTTGGTACATTGGTAACGTCATTCAGTCACAGAGTTAGATCTTGCTTTGAGGCCCTAAGGATTTCCCTACGATTAAATAGAAGAAGGCCAAAAAGGTGCAATACTTAAATGAAATCCCATATAGCAGGAAGTCTCTGTTGTGGCGCATTAAAGGGAACTGAATAGCATGATCATCGTTTTCCTTGGATGCATTGCAGAAACATGGAAAGGATAACCTCCCGTAGCTACAAAGGATTCATATGAAAGGGCCCTTGCATACTTTCTTGCAAATATCATATGAGGTGTAAATGAACTTAATACTAACGCATCTTAGTTTGTTGTTAATTCTCCTATATCTAATTTCTTTTTTTATTTCATTGATTTATAGGAAAATTACACTGATGTTAACTTTAATACCTTCAAACCACTAATTCTGGCTTTCATAATGAAATGACAGGTTTTAAATTTTCTCTCCTCAGCTAAAAGTTTAAATACTTTCAAACATGAGTGGAGGTGTTCAATTTTCTTTATATCTGTTACTTCATAGTAATATTTAAGAAAATAATAGTTATTATGAAACCTTGTTAAATGACAATGGTCTATAGAGACCAGTTTTTTATGTATTGTAATGTGTTCCAGCATTTCAGATGTTATTTTTGGAGGACGGAGACTACCGAAACTCAATGGAAGGAGCAAAGCAAAAGCTTGACATCTTGAAAGCGAAATTAAAGGCAAGAGATTCTTTGAGGACATGTCATTGGGTTGATAAATATTACAGCAAGCTGTGATGCATTCTGAATTGGAGTACTCCGCCAAATGGCTGAACTAGATTTGTTCGATGGAGAAAATTATTTTTCCAACTTTATGGAAGCGGCTCAAGATTTTAGGCTATGATATTGTTATGAAAAGGCTACCTGTATGAAATAGATAGCTTGCTTACTTCAAGACTAGGAAAAAGGACTTGCAGCTTGCAAAACTTACTGCAGTTTATTGTATAATTATACAATGCACTAGATGCACATATGATATTAGTTAATACTATAAAGGATAAGAAACAAAGAGAGTTAATGTTTCTACTGTTAAAATAATTAGAAATTGTAATGTATAAAAATCTAATTTCTGCAGCAACTGGATATTATTCTCATGTTTTAATCTGCTTCTACTGTGTTCAGAACATAATTAGACATTGTATCAAAATCTAATGTATTTACCAATAAGATACTATCTCATGCTTTAATCTATGTTAATGATAAGCGCTTTTATTAGAACATATGATGGATGAAAAGCTCCAATAATAGAATGTAATGTGTGTGTATGTACTGTTATCTTTTTGCCTTTTTAAATTTTCATGCTATAGAAAAAAAATGTCAAATTTACTTTTACACTATGACTATAAGTCTTTAGAGAAATATGTTTTTGATTTATTTAAATTGAGCTTGAGTTCTTAGCTTCCCCACGTCATGCGGGGGCGTATTGAGCAAAAAATAAGTAATCTATAATAAAATATAAAATAGTGCATGCAACACCCACAAAACCAAGTCCAACAATATAATAGAGCTTGCACCTGATATTTTTGGGATCATTCATTTCTACTGTCCCTTGTGGTGTCTCGTCTCTGACTTTTGCAAGTGGAGAAAAGAACTGGTGTAGATAGAATTGTTAGCGATATCCAAGAAATAAATTCTTGCACAAGAATTTCAACACTTACCTGGTGCATTGAAATGAACACTATAGAGATTCCCAAGATAAAGTTTATAGTTAGAGTATGACCAAAAAGTGCAGCAGATGCTATGCCAGTGAAAATAGTGGCAACTGTTGACGAATATTTCTTCAAGATTGTGTCTGCAACACCATCAGAACATTAATTTAACATCTACACCATAACTTAACCAGTACAGGATATTTGTACTCCAAAGGGTCAAAACAAGGCGACCAAAATGATTAGTTTCGAAGAAAACAAATTCACTGAAAGAATTTTATCAGCCTTATTTTACCTGCATATTTGAAGAAAAATGATGATAATATGCCTTGTGCTGCGTTGTTGACGATCAGTAACATTGTAGCTTTAGAGTGGCCCTGAAGGATGTCAAAGCTACTAGATCCTGGAAATGTATAAAACATGTCAGTATTTGTCCTTGGAAACATATAGGTTACCAGAACAAAGATCATGAAGTTCACACTAAAAGAGTTGCATGAGACCAAAAATTTGTGATTTGATATGTGAACTGGACCAACAAAGCCCCAAAAAGAACTGAGGCAGCTGGAAAGATGATTCATTTGATATCGTTTGAAACAGCTATCAGATTTGTTGGATTTTAGAACTATGAATATGCATCCATTCAATATATAATGAAACAATGCATCACATACACCAAGCATCCATCAAACAAAAAACTGTCAGTGTGTGCTTCTCAGCTTGTGTCCCATGTTCTGTCCATGTCTGCTTTGTTAGCCGGTAAAACTTGCAGATGACATGATCATTACCATATATGTCGAAACATTCACCTTGGCAACTTTTTTGTGTGTCGGAATGGCTATCTAAGATTCTCTATTACAAACTGTACAGAATACATACCCTAAAGTCCGAACATAGTTCCAGCCAGCCATCATTAATAATTTAAGGAATGTCGTAATAGTAACAATCATATCATAAATTAGACCAGATTGCTAAGAATTTCATATCCCATATTGGATTAAAGCAGAAAAGGGGCCATTTTCAGTTCTGAAGGAGAAAATTCCCACCTGTTGGGCCACATGCTGAAAGCATGATCGCTTAACTTGTCTGACTCAACGTATGGAGTATTCAAATTGAATTCTTTTTCTCCATTTAGCTTCATTAAAGGCAAATTCCTATGTTGAATAGCAGGTATTGTAGCCTTTTTTCCCACCCTTTCTTCATGTTCATTTAGGTTTCATCCTCTTCCCGCCGATGCAAATATGATCCTACTGTCCATCCCTACTGTTCATCCTAAAAGTTACTATTAAAGGTGTCCAGTTGACATGTCGAAAGGAAAAGTTACTAAAAAGAAAAGCTTATCAATTCCAGCATTTCTTAAATGAAAATTGTTTTGTTCTTCTGAAAAAGAAACTCAATTTTGTCAATCAAATACCAACAAGAATGTGTTGAATTATTGGGTATTCAACCTGAATCCTACAAGCCGAGTTTTAATCTGCATATGAATATTGCGTCTCATAGCAGCATGGATCAAGGTATTGAGTTATACCAGACCATGTAATGGATCAACATTTAGATCTTTACTAGCCAATACAATACCAACTTATGCCATCTCTACTTGCAAGTCTATTGAGAAAAGCTCCGCTTTTGGCAGCCTAAGCGGTTTGCAAAGCCTGAGCGGTGAATCAACGTTCTGCTTTTGTCGAAAGCGGCCAATGAAAACTGATTAGCGCTTTGTGCTTGAAAACGCAGCAGAAAACTTGTAAAGCGCTGCAAAATAAATAATAAATACAGATAAAACCCTCCGCTTCTCTCTCTCCTCTCCGCTTCTGCAACTCGAGATGAAAATAGACCCTAACCCTAACTTCCGCTCCAGCTCACCAACTGCGTCCGGCCAACTCTGCCGCCTCCCGCCACCAAATCTGCGTCTAAATCCGCCTTCTCTAACAAGCTTTGCCTTCACCATTACCATCACACCATCACCTTCTCTTGAGCTCCTCATCAAAGCTTATCATCACCATCTTTAGTCAAAGCTCATTATCACCATCTACATCTACAGTCAAAGCTCCTCCGCCTTGTTCTCCAGTTCAAATCCGCTTTTCTACTTGGCATTTCTTGCCGCTTTTTGCCGCCAAAGCCCCAGAAAGCCGGAGTGGTGCCTCACCACTTCGCCCGGCTTTCCACTTCCACAATGTTGCTTGCAACTATAGCCAATCTTGTTGAAGAAAATCGAACTGCTCAAAATCAACACTTGACTATCCTTGGCATGTGATTCATGGGTGTGAAAGGTCAAAAGTTAAATATCTTAACGTGCTAACACATATGCCTTCAAACATCATGTTGTTTCAGCTGATTAATTTATTTTCTCTAAAGGAGGGGCAAACAACAATGGTACATTATTTGAAGTTCTAAGATTATAGATAAGGAATTCATGTGACCATATAAAAAACTTGAAATCAGAACCATTATTTAAATCGTCTTTGTGTCACATATCAGACAAACTTGGAGAAAGTATTACAAATAAATGGAAATCTAAAACTACCTTGTTTAGCTAGTATATGGAAAAGAATAAACACGTGACAAGTGGAAATTAAAACTACTTTGTTTGAGCATTAAATGGAAACAGAAAGATCATGTCATACGAATCACCAGGACTTATAGGCTGACAATCTTTTATAGCAACTATAGCGTGTACTTAGATTCAGAATGACTATATAAGCATTTTAAAGTGAACTTGTCAATGTAGGTCATTATTTGCAATCAATACCTTTGACAATGGCAGTTCCAACTATGCCAAGAAAGTTGAAGATTGCACCATAACCATATAAGAATAAGTTCTGAAAATGAAGACAAGTATATAATAGCAATCAGAATATTTCAAACATGAATAAAATTAATAGAACGAGCAACCAAGTTTCTATATCAAACCAAGAGAACTACAATTAAATAATCAACTGGAAAACATAAGATTAGTGTGAAGCATGAACATAACAGTATTAAACTAGAAATTGTCCACTTCCCAATTATTTAGTCTTTAGAGTTACCTGAAGATAGATACTAGTGTCAAACTGGCTTTTCAAAGCATATTCATTGTATACTGAAGCTAGAGATGGAACTGTTACCTGCAAAGTGTAACATCCATGTAAATATCTCTGAGGTCAGAAAGAAGCAAACTTATCTAGGTAGATATGTTCCTACCCAATTAGCGTGTTATCTGACTTTAAACACAAGCTGTTAGCAACTAGCTTTTATCGAGATTTTAAATGTTATTTGCTCCTAAAGCAAAGGAAAAACAGCATATGATATTAGGTAACAAGAGCTTCGGCAATCCATATAAAACGATATTCGACTAATATATGAGTCTCAACCTAAGCTGGCAGCTAGTAATTCCAGTGAATATATAATAACAGAAAATTGTGAAAGGAAAAATGCCTAGACCATCAAATATCTAAGTTAAATAATCAATCTTTATAGGAAAACGTAAGTTTCGGAACAAGGCAATAAAGAGTCTTCATCAGGAAATTTGATGGCGAAGTTTTCAGTATGAGGAAATTGTTTCTCAAGTCCTAAAGATTCAAATTGCCGCTTATAGTGTTAATAAATTGAAAGAACTATGAATGATAAACTTCTAACATAGTAAATAAAAACCAGTGGCTAAGCCTAAAGCAAGAACTAGAGCTTATAACTTTAAGATAGTCCAACCTAGAACTATGAGGGAAAACTTGGATTTCATAAATCTAGAAGTTGGTATTTACTTACAAAGATCAAAGTATACAGGTATGCACCCGTTGCAACTGGAAGACCAAGTGCATTGGTACCTTCAGGCAGTGACTTGAGCTGATTAACACTTATTCCGATAAGCAAAAGTGCAAGAGCTTCCCACTGTTTGAGAAGAAATAAACTGAGAATATTTAGAAGATGCAAATTACGACTTTACGAGTTTGACACCTCTAAATTTACTATTAAAGAAAAAAATAACAAAAGGAAAGCTAGCAACTTTAATGGTTACATTAATAAAAATCATCTAAATTATATATGTTCATAGGCTTCTTGAATATCCAAATTAACCAAGACTAATACTTCTTACAAATATTTAACTAAAGTTAGAGAAATTTAAAATACAAAGAGCCCAGACGGTAAAACTTGCCTGAATCACTGAGAAACGCCTTTTCATTATCATCTTTAACAAGAGAGCAATAACCAAGACCTACAGGAATTAGGAGCACACAAGAAGGAAAATTATCATAACCAATCTCACAGAAACATGATATCCATTATTTTTTTGAATTCCTCTCAAAGAACCATGTTTGAAACAATGTACAAAGGAGAAACAAAAGAAATCAGGATGCAAACTTGTCAGATAAACTAAGTGATGAACATAAACGTCTATGTTTGAGGCATTGTGCGACTGTGTGAGACAGAGAGAGAGAGAGAGAGAGAGAGAGAGAGGGAGGGAGGGAGGGAGGGAGGGAGGGAGGAGGGAGAGAAAGGAGATAGGGAGGGAGGGAGATTGACCATCCAATAAGCATTTAACCAAAATCAAGTGTTTTAGAGAGAGAGAGAGAGAGAGAGAGAGAGAGGGAGGGAGGGAGGGAGGGAGGGAGGGAGGAGGGAGAGAAAGGAGATAGGGAGGGAGGGAGATTGACCATCCAATAAGCATTTAACCAAAATCAAGTGTTTTGGAGACAATTCACCACAGCCAAGTGATCGTCAAACAGAGTATTTAAATGGAGACCACTCGTTAACATGTCCAAAGTATATATTTTCTCATCCACGGCGTGGATATCATTAAGAGTGATATAGATCATCCAGTGGGATGCTGTACCATGTGTTCGCAAAGGTGCACAAAATTTTCTACAGTGCAGCTCATACCGCTTTATTATTCACACATGACGTACAGAGAGACTTGATAAATGAACAGTTGTGATTGAAATGTTTCAGCAGAAACGCATGTGCATGGAGTTATTTAATGAATAACAATTTGTATTTGAATGATTCAATTAAAATTGAAATGTTTCAGCAGAAATGCATGTGCATGGAGTTATTTAATGAATAACCATCTGTATTTGAATGTTTCATAACCTAGTAAATCCATATCATATACAAGATAGATGTGAACATCTGCAAAAAGATCTAAAACACAAAACACACATGACCACCTGTAAAAGAGACTACAATATTTGTGTCGCACACTGACATGCGTGAACTTAATAAAAAAGCCTTTGTATTTGAAATATTCCAATAACCTAGTAAATAACCCAGTAACACTATGAAATACAAATAGACAGCCGTCTGCAAAAGAAGTTCTAAATTTAATCACATGGATGATGATTATACGAAAATGAGGATAGTTTCCCAATGCATTTGTGCATGACATGAGGCTTAACACATTCATGCATGACATGAGGCGTAACACATTCAAGAATGTCTCAACTAGAATCACATGAATTTTCTTATTTAGCAGTGGGTGGCAGTTACCCACCTTACCTAGCTATTGTAATGCATAGCCATCATGCGTGACTGATGTCACAACTTAAATGGTAAAACACAAATATTTTGAAGTAGTGACCTGGTAAAGATCAGACAGAGAATACCTTTAGGTTGCTCAACATTTTCACTGTTGCAGGATTGAAATATAACTGCAGAAAGAAACAGAGAAACAGTTAAAGAACATACTAGGAAAAGTCAATAGGCCAAATGAGCTTAAGAATAGAAGTCACCAAGGTCACCAAGAAATCAGATTATTCTTCCTTTTTTTGGGTTAGGAATAGATGCCAAACTGAACTAGGACAAATTATCTAAGTAACGCGATTTATACCTGCATAATGAACTTTAGGTAGTTGTTGATGGCATATAAAAGAGCTGGAACAGCCAGAAGAACATTATTGCGAGCAGCCTGAAAGAGAACTAAGGAACAATCAACTAGCGGTTGGTTAAGCAACTTAAAGATCAATGAAACAAAGACTTTCTCAAACAAAAAATAAAGATCACAGTAGATTAATTGGGAAAATTGCTAGTAGAAGCCACATAATTTATAGATGCCAATTGAGTTTGAAAGGATTGAACTTGATGTGAACAAACGGAAAGTAATACTCCTTAATTAGATAAAAAAAAACATCCGGTCTCCAGTCTCTGGTCTCAGAGATACTCATGGACCGGTCATCTTGAACCCTAATCTATTGAAATTATTGGACCAGACCTCTTGAACATATTGATATTGATATCTTAACTTAAGGTGCACATCAGCATCAATGAATGAAGCCATATTCGGGGTTTGAAACTTTGCCTGCTATCCATCCATTTTAAGGAAAACAAAGTAAAAATTTTGTAAAAATCAGCATTTTTCTTAAAGGTGAAAAATTGCTGCCAACCACAAGAGGCTGTTTCACTGGATTTCAGTAGGCAAGAAACCTACATGAAACCTGATCATAGGACAGTCTTGAGCTTAACTGCTATATATGTAGTTCAATTTGCACGATCAAACTAAAATTTTCAATATTGGGACTAAATTTAAATTTCTTCGCAAATCAGAAACTACAAATTTTCCCAAATCATAAGGAAATCATGTTTGTGCGTATTTATCTTACATTAAAGACATACAATTAGAACAAAAGAACTTGTATAACTCAATCCTCAGATATTCCCATCATGATTTATCCATGTGGCATATGTACAGTGTTAACTATTAAGTCAACCAATTCAGTCAGATGTCATCATCAGCTATGTCACAAGGGTTTTGGCATACACTAGATTCCAAAGTTTACATATTTCGAATAGGATCCCCAAATCTTCATATTTTTTAATTAGAATCTTAAATCCTCTAAGTTCATTGAAATTACCCCCTCTCATTTAATGCAATCAGTGTTGCCCATTTCACTAACTTCAAAATTTATCTCCACTTGGACAATTTTGTCTCTATGAATTTGGACAGCCTCCTTGTTGCTTAATCCTTTCTTCACCATCTCCTTCACTTAAAGGTCCACCAAACAAATTAAGTCTCTGTCCTCTTTTCACATTAAAATCCAAAACTTAACTATACCTCCACCCCAAATATCTGCTCTGTCATATTCATTTTCTCCTCCCACTCTTTCTTGCTCTCACTCCCTTGTAGAAAAAACAAACAATTTAAGAGAGAAGAGGGTGAGGGATTTTGGGGGGTGGATCACAATGGGCTTGAATTCAGGATGGTTTGGATTGGAGAGAGACCATAATGACTTCAGATTAAAAAAAAGGGTTCCATTGTGAATGTGTGGTGAGATTGAGAGAATGTTAAGTAACCAATGCGATTTTGGTAAAATCCCTCTCTGTTTAGCTCTTAACCAAACCTAAGTAAGGAATTTGAATAAAAGTTGCTAACATGGCGTAACCTAAATTTGTGAAGATTTAAACATGTGATTATGGTCGTCTGATATTATTAAAAAAAAACTTAAATCAGTAAACCAATAAGCAAAAGTTACAAGCCTAAAATATGCTTTCTCTGCATAAATAAAAAACATTGAACAATAAATAATAAATGAATAACACCATGATGATAAACAATGAAATTTTATGTACCGACTTCACAAGTTACAATGAAGCAAAAATTCAAATAAGAAACATATGATGCAGAATAGCTTCAGCATGACTATCAATTCAGTTTATACAAAACATGTTTACCTGCACGAAGGTTGAAACAGAAAGGAGAGGTTTCTCGCCTACATTTTGATGCCTAGCCTGTGAATAAGCAAATATATATAGATGACACTATGCTTGAGCACTTTTAAGATAAAGAGAAAATGAATGAAGGAAATTCGGAGCATTACACAATTAAGTTATATTTACTTTCACAATTATCATATGTCGTTAGTAGTACCCCCATGATTTTAATTTAATTATTTAATGCAGGATCCTTGATTTAATGAAGTGGTGAATTTAAATGCAGTTCGGCTATATAATTTTTGTCTAATCTGTCACGTGAAATAAAAGACAGAAAAAATACTATATTCTTTGAATATAACAGAAAATATTCTTTGAATATAACAGAAATAAAAGACAGAAAAAATACTATATTCTTTGAATATAACAGAAAATATTCTTTGAATATAACAGAAATAAAAGACAGACAAATACTATATTCTTTGAATATAACAGAAAAATATTGATGACCACATATGAGCACATTGATAATCTAAAGTTGCCAGTTTGGTTAACCAATCGGAAGTCCCTAATCAAGTAAACCCCAAAAGAAAGTTCAGTATGCTATTTCATATTCTTATGATGGTATTTCATCAGTCCACGCTTTCTATCTAATGGTATGTCATTTTCCAACATGGTTGTCTTTGTTATTCTAAATTTCTAATAATACTAAAACTCTGAAGCAGCGAATGGAAGCAAGGTACAACTCTACCTATGCAATATCTGCAGCAGGGATGGCTAGTTTCATATTACGACATATAATCAGAAGATCAAGTAAGAAGCTTACTTATCCCATAAAAATTTGGAGCCTCTTTAATAAAAAAAATTGCACTACCACATCAATTCTTTAAAAGATCATGTAATAAAGCATAGGTTACCAGACACTTCATCTAGGCTCCCATATCCATGTCCGGCACTTCCCGTACCCGTGTTCATGTCCGACACTTCTTGAATATATACTTACATTTATTAAGACATGTTTTAGTTTAAAAAATTCGTGAATCGTGATACACTTCTTGAACGTATGCCATGCACTTCACTTCAAATTTATGCAACTCATTAAACTCAAGACAGGTTCGTTTAAGCACATGCTTAGTTCCTAAGTATGATTTTATAGGGTTATTTGGATATTTAGTTCAAAAACGAGCGTTTTTCAATTTATAATCTACTCAATGAAAGAAACATAAAAACGATATAAGGATTTTAGTTCTCATAACATACGACTGGAAGACAATATCGACCTCATATAGATTATTAATCTTAGTAAGTATATATCTAGCCGCATCCTCGTATCCTAACTTTTACAATTCTGTCGTGTCTTGTATGACTGCATCCACACCTATTGATACGAGTCGTCGTGCGAGCACCCTTTGGTCGCGGAATTACCAAAAGGTGGGTTGAGAAGAAAACAATTAAAACACAAGAACAATTCAGTATGACGAAGAAAAATACCTTCTCTAGATTATGAAGAATCAATTATTACAAATCTCTCCCTCATAATCTCACTAGAATCGAAAACAACCTCTCAATCCTCTCTAAACCCTAATACAATGATTAGAATCTCTCTGATCTAAGACCTCATAGATCCTCACAATCTAAACCCTGATCCTTTTGATTAGGATCTCACTTAGACCTAAAACCCTTTAGATCTACATCTTGGTCTCTCACCTCTTTTCTGATTTTTTTAAGATCATGTTTAGAAACTCTAAACAATCATTTATATAGGTGTACAAACGTGGATGGCAATCTGGTAAATAACTAGACCAAACCCCAACAGGAATTCGTGCAAACAGAAACCCAAACGAACCAGGAAAACTTCGATGAGTCGACTCATGAACAGTTATGGGTCAACTCATGACCTCATATGAGTCGACTCATAACTGATGAGTTGACTCATGACAGGCATGAGTCGACTCAACCTGATGAGTCGACTCAACCTGATGAGTCGACTATGTACATGTATGAGTCGACTTACGAGCTAAAAACTGGATTCTTCGAATCTGCTGCTCGTCGTCTCGTTCCACTCTTCCCCTGCGTTCCACTGTACTGATTGACACCTCTATTCTCATGCTATCATGAGAATCATCTATCCTCAAGCTCCCATGAGGATCGCTAAGTTCCGAAGAGAAGATACACATGTATCATGCTTTGATTCTTCGTTCTTCCGACTCGCTTCACGCTCTATCCTGTGCTCCGCTGTATCGCTTCACACCACTATTCTCAAGATATCATGAGAATCACCTATCCTCAAGCTCCCATAAGGATCACTAAGCTCCCGAAGCAGAGAAGAAGATACACACGTATCATGGCTCCCCTCTTTAAGAACTTGAAGTCTCTTTCAAGTTTAGAACTTCTGCTGAGGGAACTCTCGGGCCCCTCCATTTTTGTGGCCTTCAATCATATTTTTCTTCCTTAATCTCTAAACTCCTTCCAAAGAAAAGGATCTCGCCTAGCTTTTTGTATTGCGATCGAGTCAGGACCATACACAGAATGCCCCCTTCGCAGAATCTGATCGCTCTGATACCAACTTGATACGAGTCGCCGTGCGATCACCCTTTAATCGCGGAATTACCAAAAGGTGGATTAAGAAAAAAATAACTAAAACACAAGAACAATTCAGTATGACGAAGAAAAATACATTCTCTAGATTATGAAGAATTAATTATTATAAATATCTCCCTCACAATCTCACTAGAATCGAGAACAACCTCTCAATCCTCTCTAAACCCTAATACAATGATTAGAATCTCTCTGATCTAAGATCTCATAGATCCTCACAATCTAAACCCTAATCCTTTTAATTAGGATCTCACTTAGACTTAAAACCCTTTAGATCTACATCTTGGTCTCTCACCTCTTTTTCTGATTTTTTAAGATCATGTTTAGAAACCCTAAACAACCCTTGATATAGGTGTACAAACATGGCTGGCAATCTGGTAAATAACCAAACCAAACCCCAACAGGAATTCGTGCAAACAGAAACCCAAACGAACCAGAAAAACTTCGATGAGTCGACTCATGAACAGTTATGAGTCGACTCATGACCTCATATGAGTCGACTCATAACTGATGAGTCGACTGGTCAAAGACTTTTGCTAACAGGGCTTGAGTTCTTGAGTCGACTCATGACAGGCATGAGTCGACTCAACCTGATAAGTCGACTCATTTACATGTATGAGTCGACTCACGAGCTGAAAACTGGATTTTTCGAATCTGCTGCTCGTCATCTCGTTCCACGCTTCCCCTGTGTTCCACTGTACTGATTGACACCTCTATTCTCATGCTATCATGAGAATCATCTATCCTCAAGCTCCCATGAGGATCGCTAAGTTCCGAAAAGAAGATACACCTGTATCATGCTTTGATCTTTCGTTCTTCCGACTCGCTTCACGCTCCATCCTGTGCTCCATCGTATCGCTTCACACCACTATTCTCAAGATATCATGAGAATCACATATCCTCAAGCTTCTATGAGGATCACTAAGCTCCCGAAGCAGAGAAGAAGATACACACGTATCACCTATATCCGCATCTGCACCCATATACGTGCAACATAGAATAAACCTAATTGCTCACGTAAACGATTGGAGCCTCTTGAAAAGGGCCACATGGTACGGAAAAAAACTCCAACAATATAACCTAAGTTGAGCAACAATTCATGACGCGGACTACTTAGTATGGTAAGGTTTCTTGCGGTAAAACAAGCTCATGGATAAAAATTGATTTAGGTAAAAAGGTTCTCAAGTATTTCACATGATAATTTAAGCAAAGATGACTAAATAATAGCACAAAAAATTATTTTCTTTAAGAGAATTTGCTCCTCACTTAATTTAGTATCATACGATGATAATTTAAGAGAAGATGACCAAATAATAGCACCAAAAAATGCTTCTCTTTAATAGAATTGCTCTCACTTAATTTACTAACATACAATGATTAAATGAAATCTACAAAATTAGCATGAAGAAAGAAAGGGTGTTGAAGATTTAAAAAGTTGCAATCATGCTTCACAAGAATCTTAACCTTAAACTAGCCAAACAAACTTATATAATTATATCATAACAGATAGTCAATCACAGTAGACCCAGAATTGAAGTTAATATTTTGGAAAAGAAACAAAGCTAATTGATTACCTCATGTGCAACTTACTTAACTTTTCATAGATCATTATCATATGGTGTCTGTCTGATTCAACTAGCAATCTAGTCACTTGAAATGGCAGAATCAAACATCATTTATTCTATCCTAGGACACTTTAACTGGACATTTCCTAAATGCAACTACTTTATTTAATGAATTTACAGTCAGAATTAGCACTAGCCTTGGAATTTTTATACATCTGACCGAAAAGTCCATATATGCAACTCGGATGCTTATAGATTTAGTTTCAGCAGGTCTTCCAGTAATCCAAAGGCCATGCCAAGGAATGCTTCCTGATTTTATTTATTTATTTATTATTTTTTGGGGGGTATGGCTTATTCGCATGCATCATTATATGCCAATGCAGAAATTAACAAATTTCAAAATGCAGTAGTAAATTACAAAACAAACCTGAAATAATAGCATCACAATGGCAAAGAAAACCTTCGTAGTCTCCGTCAAAAAGTTCACGCTGATGGGACTAAACTTAAAGCTACCATCCACCTTCGACATGTAGACCAAAATAGGCTGGAGGAAAATTGGAAGCCGGTCATTGCAGTACAATTTTACATACAGGTAGAGTTACATGGAAGAGATTTTTATGCAGAGTTCTGCAGCCAAGTAAAGTTTTGACCACAAGACAAGAAATTCTTATATTATCAATAACATGTGTCTACCAAAAAGATAGCATTCATCAGAACTGCCAGGAGGCAAAAGAGATGGTGTACTAATTGGTAGACTGGACGTAAGGAGACTATTAACTATGATTTTTGGTAAAATCTTTTCATTTTCATCAATGTATAGAAATATATGTCCGCACATTATTAAAAAAACAAAGATCATCACAAATACAAGGGAGATTATAATCCATAATTTGGTACAAGCACATTTAGATTTTCCAAGGGCAGCTGTGCATCTGTTCTGTATCGCAGTATCACTATGAGCTAATCATTCTGATGGATACTTGAGCATTTTTTTACTGTTACCTACTTGACTTTTCCTACCTAACTCAACCATGAAGTAGGTGGATAGTGCACTTTGGAATGATTATGTCACATATTCATCACTCCAGTTTCTTAGGCAGTTGATATTACAAAAAATGCTTTTTAATTTTTTTTTCATAAATATAACTGCTTTAAAGAGGCTTATTTAGCTTGGATTATTTTAATTTTTTATATAACAATGATGTTAACTATCAATTCAAACATAGGATCATATCATCGTGCCTATTCTAGACTTTAGTAATCTTATTTTAGTGGTGTATATATAGGGCTTAATGGTTATGAGTTGCCACCTCATTTGACTAAAAGATCTACTAAGAGATGAAGAATGATGCAACTAGCTACTAGGAGATAAGTACGAATGTGTATCAGTATGCATATAGTCTGTGTGTCTATACCCACTAACACTTTTATACATACTAGAGTAGGATCTTTACATAAAAGCATATTACATTATAAGCAGGGGAGGAGAGAGAAATACTTTGCAGGATGGGCATAATATCAACTCTATTGGAAATCTTAAAAAAAATATCACTTTTATACAAGAAAAAATTAAAGTAAAACTTTAACCACAAAATACATGTATTAGACTATATGTCATCCTGCCTATTATTTTGCAATAAAGAACTGTCTTATTTAATTTCCATTCTTTCTGTCCTCTTTAAGACCTGAATCTAGGAAAATACTTTTTTCCAAGGAAAAAGGCTACAAGGTTCTACATAAACAATTTTTACAATAAACAACAATTGCATGGAAAAAGAAATTAATCAATAATCCTCTATAAGACCAAAGAGGTTGTTACATGGTAGGATATAGAAATCAAAATGAAGATCTTATATGGTATAGAACAGATATGTCAGGAATCAATTATTCACTACTCAACATCTAAAACATGACAAGCATGTATAGAATCATTCTCTCTAAGATCATTGTTTTCGTTAGTGTGACTCGAATATTGATTTGCAAATCCGAACCCGAATTGGACTCAACACTGTTTAGCTTTGCATTGTCTGGCCGAGAACTACAGGTCCTCTTTGGATATGTTTTTTTTTTTTTTTTTTTTTGGAAAACTTTGGATAGGATATTTAATCTTAATGGAGTTCTTATCAAGTGTGCAGAGTATGAAGATAAGACAAAAAGGAGTCTAATGTGACTAAGAGTTCAGTGGGAAATTCGTTGATAGCAGCAACTAGCAAGTCTAATATCGGATAATCTCTATGATGAAATTTGATCAGCCGAGCCTAGCTAGCAGAGAAAGGCCAGAGCCTTTTCGGATCACCTGTAACAAACTGTCAATCCGTGGGGTTTTAAGTTCTTTTGGTTGTTGACATAAGCTCTCTTTTGTTCTTTATTTGAGAGAGATTGTATTGAGATTATTTCGGTTGTGATTGGGAATTGAGCAATAGAGAGATCTCCACATTGTACATCTG